ATATAACTTTAGACGACTACTGCATACTGTGTTAAAATATTTTCTTTCGTATTTTAAGCCGTGAAAATACTATTTAAGTGTTCTTATCAAAATCGATTAAATTCTTCTCCTTTTTACAAGAAACACTTTAGTCGTTTCCATTTTGTTTTCTACGTATTAAAGGTAAACTCCATTAAAATATAATCAAGTAACTCTATCTCTTATCATTGTGTCTATGTGTGTACTTAAATAAATTTTTTATTTTGTTCGTTATCCGTTGCATTGTATTACCTCAGTTAATATTATTTAGTCAGTGCACTATCACATACATCGTTTTACTTTAAATCCGAGTATTTACCTATTATTTAATTTTTAATAAGAGAAACATTTTATTCCAATGCAAAAAATTATTATATCATTAGGTTTATTTTATATGCATTTCTGTAATTATAATATTTCAACTTATAACATAAAAAATTTGTATTTTTGAAGACAAATTACTTATTGCATCCATGTACTATTGTTATAAGAAAAAAATGCTCTATCTTTTATCAAGTGTAAAAAATGAAGAAATGTATGTACTTGGTTAATGAGATTGCCCCTGAGGTCGAAGATAATGATGCTACTAACATGAACCGACTAAATAGATACATACGTAGTACCTCTAATCATAACGGCATAGGCGTTTCAATTTGTTTAAATAAATACAGTAAGAAACAGAAATATTTGTATACTGAGAATGTATTATAGAGAAATACAATTTTTATTATATTTTCTGTATCATAAATTACATTTAAATGTTAAGTACGAGTTTAAATACGATTACTAAAATAAAAGTTAATTAATACCAGAATCACCGCACCCGTCAAACTGGTGGGTTTTAGTTTCCTTATTTCGCAATTACTGATATCTTAGAAACGTTAATCGTCCGAAATGATTTAAAAAAAAATAGTTTCACTTCAATACTGTAATTAATGTATGAAGAAATCGAAGAAAAGTTTATTGTTACAATGTTTATAAGGATTACATACGAATCATGTTAAATACTCAGTTGTTCCAGTGTTGAGGTACTCAAGTCTTTGTAAGTAATACGCGATTATATTTATAATAATATTTAAATTATACTTTTATCCCTCACTGTATGTAACGAGATGTGTTTCATAAATGAATTAAAATATTTTTCACTTTTAGACGATCACAAAATACTTTATTCTCTCAAAT